GTTGAAGCTCCCAAAAACCAAAGAGCTTATCTTAAAGATGAGCAAAAAGAAGCCTTCAAGTAGCTTCGTGAGCACCTGACTCAACTCCCAACGCTGGCTCGCCCAGCTGAAGGGAAAACTTTATACTTATACGTGGCAGTTAGCCCTACACCATAAGCGCAGTTCTGTTGAAGGAAGAAGACAAAGTCCAGAAGTTGATCTACTTCGGTAGCCACACTCTAACGGATGCCGAGACCCGCTACCCCCTGCTCGAAAAAGTTGCATATGAAGTAGTGGTAGTCGCTCGGAAGCTGAGGCTCTATTTTGATTATCATCAAATAGTGGTCTTAACTGATCATCGTTGGAAAATGTCCTCTGTAAAGTGGAAAAATTTGGTAGGCTGGCAAAGTGGGCCTTTGATCTCACTAAGTTCAACATTAGCTACCAGCCGAGGACAACCATCAAGGTACAAGCTCTAGCGGACTTTCTGGCCAAATGCTTTTACTAGGAAGTTCTAGACGAAGGAAAGAAGACCTGGACCTTTTTTCAGATGGATCCTCCAGTGTAAATGGTTCGAGGGTGGGGATAGTACTTATCTCTCCTGAAGGCAAGTCCTTTGAGTATGCACTTAAATTTCATTGCGAGCTTCGAACAACGAAGCAGAATATGAGGCAGCGATCGCTGGCCTAGATTTGTGCATATTGTTGGAAGCCGAGCATGTCTGCCTGAAAACAGACTCTTAGCTCGTTGCAAATCAGATCCGAGGTGAGTACAAGCCGAAAGAGCTCTTGAGGATCGCTTACCTCGCAAAAATCAAAACGATAATTGCAAAGTTGAGAACTTTTGAAGTCGAGCTGATCCCAAGGGGTCAAAACGCACAAGCCGATGCACTTTCCAAACTTACAAGTTCAACTCTAACCGAGCTGAACCGATCTATTTATGTGGAGGTGCGGCAAGAAAGAAGTGTCGACGAAGCACTTGAAGTCTGTTGTGTCGTACATAAATCGAGCTAGATGGATCCCATCCTAGCTTACAAACTTCAGGGAGAAATTCCTGAAGACAGAAACTTAGCCTCCAAGCTGAAGGGAATCAGCTCAAGATTCATCGTCTTAAGAGGAGAGCTACTAAAACAATCCTTCTCAACGCCACTGCTGAAATGTGTGGGACCAACAGATGTTGATTACATCCTCGGGAAAATCCACCTCGGCATTTGCGAAAACCACATCAGGGGGAGAGCACTAGCCCACAAGGCATTAAGGGTAGGACACTACTGGCCCACCATGATCCTAGATGCTAAGGAGCTGGTCAGAAAATGCAAAAATGTCAGAAATTCGCACTAGTTATCCATCAGCCATCCGAAGATCTCCAGCCGATTCTGAATCCTCTTCCATCTGCTCAATGGGGTCTGGATATTTTGAGCCGTTTCCCGATGCTTCGTACCAGAAAAGATGGCGGATAGTCGGTATCGACTATTTCAGCAAATGGGTCGAGGCCGAGGAAGCCTCGAACATCACAGAGCAAACTGTTCAAAAATTTATCTAGCAGAATATAATTACTCGCTTCGGAATTCCGAAGGTCTTTGTCTTTGATCATGGGAGGCAATTTGACAATCTGCCGCTGAGGCGTTACACTGACCAATTCGTTATCAAGTTGGCCTATTCTGCGGTTTGCCATCCGCAAAGTAACGGTCAAGCCGAGGCAGCAAGCAAGAAGATTCTCAACGCACTCAAGAAGAGGGTTGAGGATCAAAAGTCCAAGTGGATAGAGTAACTCCTAGGAACCCTCTGGTCACTTCAGACAACCGAAAAAGAGGCTACGGGACATTCGCCATTTGAGCTGGTGTATGGATCCGAAACCGTTCTTCCAGTGGAAATCGGCACAGAAAGTCTGCGGGTGCACCACTTCTCAACCGAAGAAAATGAACAACTCATGAAAGAGTCCCTCGATTTTGTGGATGAGATCAGAGGTTTGGCCGGAGACAGAATGACTGTATACAAACAAAGTATCAACAAGTTCTACAAACGAAGGGTCAATGCATGACCACTCAAGAATGGGGACTTGGTTCTTTGGAATGCTGCAACAGTGCAAAAAAAGCCGCGTTCATTGGAAGCTCTCAGCCACTTGGGAGGGACCCTATGAAATTTATGATGAACTTCAACCCGGAACCTACCGATTTTGTCAGTTGGATAAAACCGAGTTGAAGAACCACTAGAACGCCGATGTATTGAAAAAATATCATGTGTAAGCCCTTCGGGGGAAGAACAATCTATGTAAGTACATCTTTTGAAATTAATGAGGGGCCACTGAGCCACCACTCTTATCAATTTCGCAAGTTTCTATTTTCTGTCTTCTATGTTTTTTGAAAAAAGGTTTTACTTCTGCACTGTCCGAAGTATAGCCCAACAGTGGCACTTTACATCGGATTTCCGCCAAACCTACCTAACAGGGAACAATGATTTCACAATCGAAGTATAGCCGTATGAAGGCACGGTACTTCGGACAAGCCAGTTCCTTGGGGAAAAGAGGCCGTGGACAAATCTAAAGCATAGCCAATCACTGGCATTGTGCTTCAGAGGAGTTATATCCGAGACATTTCCAAACACTAGCATTGTGCTTCGGATAGTCATCCCCTCAAAAAAATTTCAAGGATCGAGAGAATACTGCTCTCGGAGTCTGAGACTTCTACTCAGTTGGAAAAGGAAACAAGGCAGTTGGAAAAGAACTAAGAAAAAGATCAAGGCAGTTGGAAAAGGAAACAAGGCATTTCAAGCAGACAGATTATGCTTGGGCAACCGAGCTACATAAAATCAAGTTCAATTGTAGACGCCTGATTGTGTCTTCCTAAAAACCAATCCCAGTGATGAGTACCTTTCACGTCTTTGATTATCGAGTTCGGTGAAGAGTTGAAGAGTCTCATGAAGTTCCCTTTAGTCTTGACCATTCTAACCTTTTCTAAAACGTTTTTAGCCAAAATCATTCATTTCGTGTCTTAAAATCATTCTTTTCGTGTCCTTTATATAAAAACGTCCAAACCAATTTATTTTGGTCCATAATCCGGGTCCAATGATTGTGTATTTGGATAGGGCTTGAAAAGATATTTCTAACGATATATTATAAGCCCAAATCCGAGTTATAACGAGGAAGTTATGGCAAAAATACTAAACTGGGCCCAAATCGAGCTTTATATGCAGACCCAATGATCATGTGGAGGGTCCATTATATTTCTAAAACCATTAGGATTTATCCTAATATTTTAGAATCTTATAGAAGGTTGTTTTATATTTTAATTATCCTGTTTTGAAAAGATAATGATTAAGGATTTTATTTCGAATAAAATGAGTGTTTTTAATAGATTTAATTCTGATAAAGTAAGGATAAGTACGAATATTCGACTAACCCAATTTCATTGGAAGTCGGATTCTGTACGAGCCTTATCTTCTGAAAAGCATCAAGCAGCGATGAAAGCATCGCGCCGCGATATCCCCATCGCGACGCGATGAATCCATCGCCACGCAATGAAACCTGTTTAATTCCGGATGTAATTCAGATCCTTTTCTAATTTTTTCGGTCGTTTTTTCTCTATAAATAGGGGATTATTTCCGCCGTTTTCATTCACCAACAATCATCATCTAATCCTATCTTTAAGCTTTAAGCTTCTCTCTCTCACTTTCTTAGCCTTAGCCTAAACACCTCACACACCATACGACCTTTGCGAGACTTGAATACTCCAAGCCCTTCTCGAAGTTGCCTTCGACCTCGATGTGCAAGGTTGATAGTTTTGAGGGTTTGGTCCCAAACCTCTATTTCAATTCATATTTGATTAATCTACTTTATTTGATTTACTCTTTATTGAAGTTACTAACTAACTCGTGTATTGTTTTGATAGAAAGAGGTACGAGGCATCAAAGTGAGTAGATCTGCTATCCTTATTACTTTGATATAGAAATCATGCTTTGGATATTATTTTAATGTCTAGTATCATGTTAGGATGTCTTTATGATTTCTAGTATCATGTCAGGATGTCTTTATGATTTCTAGTATCATGTTAGGTTGTTATTTTAATATTTCTAATATCATGCTAGTATCATGTTGAGGCTAATGCTTTGATTTTTATTTAGTGACATGTCAGGGTTTGTTATTAATCCGTTTGGTATCATGCCTAGGATCTTGCTAATATTATATTGGAGATATTGCTTTATAATTATGATGATGATTGTTGTGTCAATTATAATTATTATGTTGCTTGATTATTCATGATTTATTGTTATTGCTTGATCACGCCCTCTTTCTTGCAGGTTTAAAGTGAATTTGTACTTGAATTGCTTAATAAGATAATTAATAATTTGTTTTAGGATTAATATGATTTTAATTCAAGTGATCGCCAATAATAGATTTATTTGTGCATTAAGAATCAACCAACATAGATTAAACTGGTTTAGGGCTAACTTGTTGATTGTATGTTGATCGGAAAGTGCACATGAATATCATAAGCATTAAGTAGAGACCGATTTAGGGCAGGTTCAATATCTTTTAGGTTGGATTCGTACCATCATCCTCGAATATCCAGTCATGGTTCTGGACCACTATGGCCTGGAGTTAGCGATCTCCATGATCGTGAATGGGGTGTAACCTTCACACCCGTGAACGGTTTACAAGTTCCTAAAACTTGTTGGCTACTCTTTTATCTCTAGCTTCTTTCCCTTTGGACGCCACCATGCTTAAGTGCATGATCACAGTGGGGCTCAAAGTTGAGTGTTGAAATATTCCCTACATCAATAAACTCAAAGAAACCAAATACTAATCGGCAGCCGTCCACAAGACGGATAAAAACAAGCTGCCGAACTAAGTACCACTACTCAAAAACAAAAAGAAGGCAAAGTTTGTACATCAAGGCAAGCTGAAACAAAAAGGTTCAAAAGGAAAAAACAGATCGGCATAGTTTAAAATTAACAGCAAAATGACCCGCAAGATTCTGTAGACGACTGCCCGAATTCCTATACTTCAGTATCCGCTAGATTGGGCTAAAGAGGACAATCTTGGCCACTGGAAATTGAAGAAGTTGAGGATGAAGCAAGATGAACTAAAGCCTTTTCAAACTCCAGCTTTTGAGCTGCTTCCTTCTCTGTCCTTTCAGCCTCTTCCTCCTCTCGGGCCTCAACCTCTACCTGACGAGCCAGGAAGTCGACTTCAGCTTGGCTGGCCTCCCTCGGATGAACATCCTTCTCATCTGAGGCCCAAGCCTCCACTTGATCCTAGTTGATGTTGGGCTCAGCATGGAAAGCCAACCGCCGAGTTACGTTGAACCCGTTCTCGTAGCCCTCGTTATACTCAGCTTGGGTATAAATCCGCACCGTCAATAGTTGCTGAGCCTTTTCAAGTTCAGCTTGAGTGTTGGAGGATTCTTCTTGCTGCGCTTTTAATTGATCATAGAGTCGTTGAATTTCATTTCTTAGATCAGTCTTTTCCTTCAACGACTTCTTCTCGGCTGTAAAAGATTTCTGCCGAAAATCCTTAGCCATTTTGTGCTTCTCGCTTTTAAGCTCTCGAGTTCGGGACTCAAGGCTAGGGATCTCCTCGACTTCGTACTTCCTCAGCAATTCTGCTCCTTGATCCATGAGTCGGAACAAATTCTTCTCCAAGTCTTGACGGACAATATCAGCATTCGTCTGGAGATCCTTTATGTCAGCCCTGGCCCTTGCGACCTTTTCCTCGGCGGCTCTGGCTCTAAGCCTAGCGAGGTTAGCTTGACATTCGGCCTCTTCATGTTTGAGCCTCAGCTTCTCATTCATCTCCACAGCCAGAGTGTGGTTCTGAATAGCCTGTAGAGGTTAGGAAACAGTTAACCGAAGTAAAAGAGTTGCAGAAAAAAAAAATTAAAAAAAAAACTGAAAGAAAAGCTTAAGTACAAGAGACTTCACCTGCATCAGCAGCCTCTAAGTCTCAGCAAAAGGGTTAGGCACCCTTACGCTAGGCTTGGTTATCCCAGCAATTGCCCTAAGAGACCAAGTTTTGGCTCTCTCCAGCTCGGGCAGGCCAAACAAGTCGCCAAAGAACGAGACAGTCGAATCTTGATGCGACCATAGGATGTTTCGGGTGCTGTCGAGGACATGAAACAATGGAGCCGATTCGAACCCCATGTCTACTGACTGGAAGGTTCGGAAGGAGTTGTCCACAGAAGTTGAAGGCACGCCGCCCTTCTCAACCTTGGCTCCCTTCTCGGTTTCAACACCCTCCAAGGTTTCAGCATTGAAACCCTCGGGCTTACCATCTTAGACCTACACCTCTCCTTCAAGATGGACTATCAGGTTGTCCAGGGCATCAACTTCTTGCTGGATCTCGTCCGCAAAAGGCTCGGCCAGATGCCATGGAGAGGGAGAAGGAGTCGAACTCTTGGACTGAACCTCTTAAGCCTCGACCAGCGGCTCGGAAGGAGAAACTCAGCCTTCTTTTCAGCAGGACCGGGAGAAACGATCTGTTCTTCCAACTTCTCTTCCTGAGTCCGAGGCTTCTTAGCAGGCACATGGGCAGCTTGAAATTGCCCTGGTCTAATAATGGTCCTCCGCTTCGGCCTGGTTATTTCTTCGCCTGAGGACAACTCCTGGACAGTTTTAACATGTTTGTCCTTTTTCTCTTCTTCCTCGTCTGACTGCAGAAGAAGGAACAAGGGGGCAAAGAGCCATATAAGTATAAAAAAAACAACAAAGAAGTTAGGTTCGAAAGTTTACCGAATTATTGAGCAGACGCTCATCTTCGTCTTCACTTCCTTCAACTCCTGGAGCAATTGTTTCAGCTCGCTCGACAATAGGAGCAGAAGTCCCAGCAGCAGCGGAACTCTCAGCAGTAGTAGAAGCACGAGCTGTAGCAGCTTGTTCCTCGGCAGTCAGAACAAAGAAGTGGTCACTCTTCTTCCACCAAGGTTTTTGTTGCTGATACTCTGCTGCGTTGACTCTTTGAAACCTCTTCTCGTGTAAACTAAGAGGCTGATCCTTCGAATCAGTGATCTTCAGAGTATTGGTGATCTAATCACTTGGATCCCTCTCCTGAGTGATCCCGAGCACCTCATAATCGATGCCCGAGTTCTCTTCGTGCAGCACTGAAAAGACTTTTCAACAGTTAGCTTCGGCGAAGAAAATAATCATCGAAGAACAAAAGAAATAAATAATAGTCCTCGACCCCAGCCGAGCTCCTTAACGCCTTGGTATCTTCGGTTGAGGCCGACAACAACAAGCATATTCTCTTAGAAGATGTAATGGCAACAGGGCATCCAAGAAGTAGGGACAGTCTTCATTCAGCCAGCAGCCCCGCGCACGGTGGACCGGCCGAAATGTTCCATTTTCTTCAGGTTCGCCTCCGAGAATTCATCAGGATCAATGCTGGCCATTTCGGGATCAGGCTGCCTCAGATACCTCGGCGCACTGAAATAATTTGGGCGTTCTTCGTCCTGGGGCACCCTTACCCAGAACCATTGACCCCTCCAGTCCTTGTCCGAGGTATCATTCGGCCAAACCGAAAGGTAGCCTTTTTCATCCTCAATCTTCCACTAACTAGGACCATGGTTATTGTTGTCGTTGACATTCGGGACTAGCTTATGCGTGCAACGGAAGCAATGGGCGCTCGGCGTAAGCCCGAAAAGCAAACACACCTAAAGATACGACATCAACCTTCGTATGCTTACAGGGTTTAGCTGGCACAACAAGTTGTTGTACCCATTTAGTACAAAAGTTACAAAATAATGAAGTGGGAGCCTAAGCCCGTACTGCAACTGACGGGTGTAAACCCCAATGTAACCTGGCGGAGGGCGGTGAATCCTTTCATCTGAATAGGGCATTCGGCACCAAAACCGATATTCCTCCATAATTTCGTAGCAAATCTCAATTTTCTTGGTAAAGTAGAACTCGGCGTCGTTCCCAATCCACCAGCCTTAAGGGGGAGACGACATAATGCCCACGTTCACCACCTGGTCTAGCCATTCCCTTTCCTCAGGAGACAGAGGCCTAGATGCTGAAGCCACGCATTAGTCGGAGGTGCTAGCAGATCCCGAAGCCCGAGGCGGCAAATTCGTTAAAGGAACGACACTAATTGCAGAGCCGCTGAAAGTGGCGGCAACACTAGTCCTAGCCCTAGGGTTCTGGTCGCTGGGGGGAGGCATCATCGCCAAGGGGCGATTCCGCCGCAAAGACAATTGTGAAACCTCTTCGTCTTTTTTAATGCTCGGCTTAGCTTCCACCTTTTGCTTTCCATGGTTGCCGGCCATTTTTTTATGGTGGTGGTGCGATAAAACGAAAAAATTGGGGGGAGGGGGTTAGTCAAAAATAAGAAAACTGAAGAAAATTATGAGAAAATTATCTTGATCAGACGCGGAATTTGTTGATCTGTAAGTTCGGAGCAACAAATTTCATTTTTGAACTTTGGATGGCTGAATACGAGTGAGAAAAGAAAAAGGTTTTAGCAGCGGTGATTAGCGAGAAGGAATTCGAAATTAGTAAAAGGAAATGAGGAAAGAATGTGGGACGAGTAGCTTAAATACCTTTCATAAATTTATTAGTCCATAACCATATTGGAATAAAGTATTATATTAATGACAGTTACTTGTGTACACCTTTTTTCGATGATTGTAATCATACAATTGACCTTACATATATTCTTTTTTATATTTAGTCCATACATCACACAAGTTCAAAGGCTCGAATAAATTATATACAAGAGCTAGGTTGAACATTCATCTATAGCAAGCTTCAAGCTTTTGGAGCATTGACCTTCCTACAGTTAGTTCTAACCTCTCCTTTGTTTCCGGTAAGAACACCAGTTTGTCCAAACTTTGTTATTGCCGTAACATATTGCTTGAAAAAGATATCCTGATTTGAACTATAATTCGCGACTATTGCATCTGTGATTCCTCCCTTTCCGGTGTATAATTCTTGATCTATGGCAAGAAGACCTTTTTGTTGCAACAAGTTTTTGAAGTATGCATTGTCAAACACATATGGAGTGGTGGAGTCGATTGGTATACGTTCGCTATCGTTTCCTACCTTGGGGCAATGTGCTTGCATTGCCTTCGCGAAGGCAGGATTTATGTTCTTATCGTCATAGATATGCTTTCGGAATGTTAAGCATCTTGCCCTACCAATTGTGTGAGACCCTGTACTCAATAAACAACTTTAGTAAAATTTACAATTTATGACTCTTTTTGATATAGTTTTAGGTCGATATCTCCCATCATGTCTATAAAATTAGTACATTGTGTATACTCTCTCCATTTCATTATATAGGATCACTTATCATTTTTTACGGGAGACAAGTTTCGCAGTATAGGGAGTGTATATAATTTTCTTACAAGGTATTTCAATTTGGGAAAGTAAAAAAAAAAAAATGTAAAAGGTGACATATAAGCTTTGCATTAAGGTAATTAATATATTAAAAAAAAAGAGGTAATTAAAGGTACTATAGTTACATGAATAAATCACTATATTAGGATGGACTGAATACTAGATAAGTAATAACTAATCACATAAAACTATGTGCATAATTGAAGAAATTGCCTCCTTTGTGAATAAGAGAAGGGAAATTACCTGTCAAAGCCACAAATTCTTCCATTGTATAGCCTTGTTGTTTAAAGGCCATAACTAGAGCTTGTAAATTCGCATTAAAGAGAGAACCTAAGGTGTCAGTCAACATTCTATGTGGTTCAGTTGAATCTCTTCTTCCTAATGGTAATGCCCATGTTGGTCCACCGAGCTAGATAATTCATGAGCAATAAGAAAGAAATCAATTGAAGAGAAAATTCATCATAGTAACTTAATAGTATTTATCGATAAATTAACAAACAAATTAATGATCAAGGTGCAACATGAAAAATATTACGATAATCATACCGTGACAACAGAGTCTCGAGCAGCCGCTGCTAAGATATCAGCACATGATACAACACCAGGACATGTTTTTTCTAGTCGAGCTTTGATCCTATCAATGACTTCGTATCCCCAAGTTGAATTTACATTTATTAAGGAAGACTTTTCCCCAGGTGTCTTTGGTGTGTCGTCGAGTAAAATTGATCCATCACATCCCTAATTATTCATCAAATATTAAGCTACAATCTTTTGTTTTAACTTATGACACAGAATGATACATATATATATATATATATATATATATATATATATATATATATATATATATAAAATAAAGAAGTAAATTTACCATTTATATAATAATATGATGATTTGATGAAAGGAAAAAAAAAATAAAAAAATTAAAGCTTACATATATCAGAGTGAAATTTCACAATAATATATCACGTTCTCTAAAACTTGAAGAAGTTGACCCTCCCTCTCATGTGTCCAGGGAGAAGAAAATGTGGAAGATTATATAATTACATTTGAATGTATAATAGACATGATTTTAATTTATGGTAAGAATTCTAACTCTAATAAGAGTAATAAGGAGGATATTGACATGGTGAATTAATACTGCATGGAAAAATCAATCAATTTTTGTTCACATATTTTTCCCCTAGGACCAATTTTATGATCCGTAAATTAGCTTTATTGTGCACAACTTATATATGTATATAACAAAATTTTGAACACTAACTTCTAAGATGTTAGACTTACACCAACTCCACAATCATGGAAATGAAGATGAAGAAGAGATCCACCCATGCCAGGTTCTTTCTTTATTGTTTTCCTAACTTCATCTTTAATTATGCATTTAGCTTGAGGGCATGATTTTGCATAGTAGTTCTCGGACAATTGAGCAAATGCCAATCCGAAAACTACAAAGATTATGCACAATTGAAGCAACAAGGAGGAAGCCATGGAAAAAATTAAAATAGACTAAAGAATATACATAAAATATAAGGAAAATAATAAAAAAAAAATTAAGTTACTATCTTAAATAATAATGTTATATCTATCTAAACTTGTATTTTCTTTCTTTTATAGTGTTTATAAATTATCTACACACTCAATATTTAATGACCATGCTTGTAAAGTGCAATGTAAAACCCTTATTTAGCATATATCTAATTATGAACTTGTCAAATTTAGCGTTTTTTTTTTCGTTTTTGACTCTACAAATAAAACGTAATCTTTGATAAACAACTAATATAAGCAATGCATCTTAGCTAGCAAGTCTATCCTAACAATTAAGAGATTAATGCAATACATGTAAATAATACTTCACAAAAGAAAAAACGAAAATTATGTTTCATGAAAATGATAAACTATAGACCCATATAGTTTTGATGATGATAATTAAACTTCAAACCAAAATTTCCAAGAGTCAGAAATATAAGCTCCGAGTAGCTTAACTTGGAATTAGTTAAGGATTTAGACTTAAATTCTATGAACACAACCATAGATATTAATCAGATCAACACCTTGTCAAGAACGACGGCCTAATTAAAGTGTATCTCAAAAAGAACATGCTCGTATTTTAGGTAGCTTATTGTACATCATGAATTGTACTAAACCTGATATAGCTTTTGTTGTTAGCAAATTAAGTCGTTTATCCAAAGGAGATCACTAGGAAGCGGTTTCAAAAAATGGATCCCATCTTTCAGATGGTGGTTATTCGATTAGGCTTAATTTCTTTTTTTGTTCGTCTTGCCGAAGATTGAACATATAGGGTTTCATAATCCGGAAGTATCTAGAAGACCATATGAGTTTTTTCACACAAACAATTATTCATCAGTGGATCTCAAGCCGAAATAGTGCTAACTCACAAATTGTATTGCTTCAGATGAAGTTTTTTTTTATTAAGGCGATAAATCGTTGATCGAATCTGCGATGTAACTAATTCTTAGGTGATTTGTACTTGTGTTGGAATTTTAAATTTTCTAGGAATGGTTTGTAATTGTTGTTTGACTATATTTTATTAATGAAATCCTTTTCTTGTTGTAAAAAAAAAAATAAAAGAAATGTGAATTGGGTTATCTATAGCAAACACTTGTTTGCATTACACTAAATATCCTGTTGTATTCTTAAGGAATATAGTGATGCAACTTGGATTTAATATTGGCCCCAAGGATTCGAAATCCACAAGTGGATATGTATTTACACTAGGTTGAGGGGCGATGTCTTGGAAGTCATCTAAGCAAACCTGTATTGCTTGATTCACCATGGAGTTTGAATTTAATTATTGCTTTATGATTGATATTATAGTTATGATAATATTTGTCGCAGATTAGGATATGTTTTGTATATATTCTATATCCTTATCGTACTAGGATTACGAGTCTTGTAAAACTCTAAATTTATTGATTAATGGTATACACTCCAATTTGAGGACTTTTCCCGAAATCTAACATGGTATCGCAGCTTTAGGTTTCGATCTAGCTTCCGCAAATTATTTTTTTTTAGCTATAATTAATTCTCATATTGATTGTAGCTTTGTCATATTATACTTTCTCTCACCGATTGCAAGCACTGACATTGTTACTTTAATTAGTTTTTTTTTTTTATTTTATTTGTTGACTTTAGTAAATTGCCTTCAGTATACTTTTTGGTAGTGCGTTGCAATTCATAGCCGAGTTCTTCTAGCAAAGCCAGTAGCAGCGTTTCTCCATGGCAAAGGATGACGACCAGTCCACTCCTCCACCACCACCTCCACCGTCGACGGAGTACCACCCGGCTCTCTCTGTCAACAATATCAAGAACGCAATTTCGTTGATTCTTGATCGGGAAAAAGTTCAATATTCGAACTGGGTTGAACTCTTTGAGGTTCATTGTCATGCCTTTCATGATCTTGACCACATTGATTCATCAATTCCTCGCCCCACTGATATCTCGACATCGCTATGGCTTAGGCTTGACTCCATTGTCAAGCAATGGATTTATGAAACAATTTCTGTGGACCTTCTTCAAACAATCCTTTGCAAGGGAGATTCGGCACAGCAAATTTAGAATAAATTGAGTGATATTTTTCAAGATAACAAAAATACGAAGGGCCGTATATCTTGAGAATCAATTTAATCTCCTTCATCTATTAAATTTTTCTGACATTAGTTCATATTGCCATTTGCCAACAACTCAAGAATCTTAAGGATCAACTTGCCGCGGTTGATCAACCGGTTACGGAACAAAAGCTCGTGATCCGGCACGTCTCTGGCCTCGTCAACACGAATTACAACATCGTAGCCACCATCATTCAACAAACAGACCCCTCCCCTCTTTTAAAACAGCCCGGTCACGCCTCCTTCTCGAGGAAACCCGTCGCTCCAACGATCAAGGCTCACAATCAGCTTCTTTCGTTGCCCAAAATTCCACCACCGCACCCACTAGTGCTGCTCCTACACCGGCTGCATCACCGTCATCGCAGCAGCAGTGTCCCAGTGGTCATAATGCTGGAAGAGGTGGGGGGCGAGGTCGTGGTAGAGGAGGCAATGGCAAGGGGAAAGGCAGGGGTCGTGGGAGAGAGAATGGACAACAGCAGCAACAACAACAAAGTCCAAATCAGCCTATCCAGTGGGGCAATCCATCCCCTTGGGCCCACCAACAACCTCAACAATGGGTAGCAGCTCCTTCTCCATACCCTTAACAGGCTCAATTTCAATATCGGCCCGCACCTAAGCAACAACGGGCTGCATATGTGGCCCAATATCCCTAACACCAATTTCAGGCTCCGTACCAGGCTTATCAAGTCCCTACCCATGGACCGCTCATGACTCCTACTGAGTTGGGGAACTCTTTTGCTACTATGTCTCTTCCGCATGGTACGTGGATTCCGGAGCAACTTCACACATGACCAACAATTCAGGTACTCTCATGTCCCTTTTTAATTTGAGCACCGAAAATCATATTTTAGTTGGTAATGGTAGTCGCATTCTGGTAACGGGTTACGGTCACACCACTTTTCCTAACTCCAAACACCCCCTTACTCTTCGTGATGTTCTTTTAGCACCTCAAATCGTTAAAAACCTTATTTCTGTTCGTAAATTCACTTCTGATAACTTTGTGTCAATTGAATTTGTTCCCTTTAGTTTTTCTGTGAAGGATCTTCGTACGGGGAAGTTAATAACGAGATGCAATAGTTCGGGGGACCTATATCCTGTGACCACTAACACTAGTCCATCCACATGTCTTGCTACCACACTCACTGCTGTCACTACACCCTCTTGGCATGATCCACTACTAGAAAAGAGGCCATTTCCGACGGAAAAATTCCGTCGAAAACACCCTAAATTCCGTCAGAAAACACTGTTTCGACGGAAATTCCGTCGGAACTAGTTGTCAGAACACCCTTTGTAGGTAAAATGGCCAATTCCGTCGGAAACGACTTTTCCGACGGAAATTCCATCGGAACAGTTGTTTCCGACGGAATATTTTTGTCTGAAAAGGAATTCCGGTCACCGGAAAGTCCGTCGGAAATTTTCGACGGAATACAAATCCGCCGGAAACTTCTGACGGAAATTCCGTCGGAAACCGCATTTAAAAAAAAAAAAAAAACCCCGGCACCACCCCAACTACCCTACCCAGCCACCACCTCACCAGGCCAGCCACACCTGCACCCACACCACACCACCCACCAAACCAGCCCACAACACCCACACCACACCACCCACCAAACCAGCCCACACCACACCACACCACACAGCAAACCACCCACCAAACCAGCCACAACACCCACACCACACCACCCACCAAACCAGCCCACACCACAACATACCACCCACCAAACCAGCCCACAGCAACCCACGCCCACGCTCCTAACCCACACCCACGCCCCTAACCCACTGCTGGCCCACCCCAACCACCACTCAGAACCCCCCCCCCCCACCAAGACAACCATCCAGAACCCACCCACCACCCTCATCCTAACCTAACCCGAAAAACATAAAATCAACCCAAATTTGTAAAAAAAATCAACAAAATTCAACCCAAATTTGTAAGAAAAATCAACAAAATAATCGACCAAAATTCGAACAAAAAAAAATCAAACTAAATTCGTACAACACATCAACAACAAAACCAAACCAAATTCGTACATAATATCAAACAAAAAAAATATTAATAACACAAAAACATACCTTAAAATCCAAATTGAATTCGAATTTGGTTTATTAAGGCCAAATTTGACCATGAAAAAGTCTAGATCTAGACTTTTTCATGGTCAAATTTGACCAAAAAACCCATTCATACCTTCACCAAGACCACTCACCATCACACCATCTGCCGGAAACGCCGGAATGCGCCGGAAAAAGCCATAGGCGTATAGAGGAAGGAGAAAGAGAAGGAAGGAGAAGAGAGAGAAAGGGGCGAGGAAGGAGAATGGCCGAGGAAGGAAAAAGAAAAGAGAAGGAAGGAGAAAGAGAAGGAAGGAGAGGAGAAAGAGAAGGAAGGAGAAAGAGAAGGAAAGAGAGGCGTGGAGGAGAGGAGAGAGAAAACCAAAATGTTAGGGGTGGGAGGGGAAACCGGGTTTTGTAGGGTTTTTTAGGTTTGTTTTTTTTTTATTATTTAATTGAATTCCAACGGAATTTTCCGTCGGAAAATTACGTTTCCGACGGAAAATTCGTCGGAACGTTCTGACGGAATTTATTTCCGTAGGAAACATAATGTTCCGACGGATAATTCCCTCGGAACGTTCTGATGGATTTTATTTCCGTCGTAAGATTAAGTTTTCGACGGAAAATTCCGTCGGAATATCCGTAAATTACAACGGATTTTTTTCCGTAGGAATTCCGTCGGAAACTTCCGACAGATTTTAATTCCGTCGGAAATTTCCGACGGATTTCATGTCCGTTGGAACTAGTCTGTCGTAAATTGACCTATTTCTAGTAGTGATCGCCTTGGGCACCCGAGAAATTCAATTTTAAGCTTTCTTCGGTCTAGAAATCATATTTCATGTAATATGGAGCATGATTTTACTTTTTGCAATTCTTGTCAATTAGGAAAACATGTGCGTTTGCCGTTTCATAATTCCAATAGTACTACTTCTACTGCTTTATTCATGTCGATTTTTGGACTTCACCT